TCAGTGCTCTCTGATATTTGCTTGGTCTAATATTAAGCCTTTGAAGGCCCCCTTGAGAGGGCACATAAAAAGGGTAGAGAGGGATGTTTTATACACATAGAGAGTGACAGAACAAAAGGGAATGGTCTAAAACTGACAGGGGGCAGGGTTAGATTAGATATTAGAAAGAAATTCTTCCCTGTGAGGGTGGGGAGGCCCTGGCACAGGTTGCCCAGAGAAGCTGTGGCTGCCCCTGGATCCCTGGAAGTGTCCAAGGCCAGGTGGGAGGGGGTTGGAGCAACCTGGGCTAGTAGAAGGTGTCCCTGCCCATGGCAGGGGGGTGGAACTGGATCATCTTTAAAGTCCTTTCCAACCCAAACTCTTCTGTGATTCTGTGATTTTATTGTATTTAACTTTTTTTTCTCTACTTTTTTTTGTATGACATCTTCAGTCAAGGCAGAAAGTCATAACTCACACACTCTGAAATTGGTTCCTGAGATTTGCAGTCCCTTAGAGCTCAGCACAGAAATACACAAAAGAACTGTGAAGTTTTGTTTACTGGCTTTAGAGTAGAAATTTTGATCTTTATTAAGGCCGAGAGCATCAGTAGATAAAATGATTGATGCAATTACAGCTGTTGTTTCAAGTGTACCACAGTTAATAAAATATACACAGTATATGCTCAGGCTGAGTAAATTTAGCTGACAGTGGCCAAGGCACCCAAACATCACTGGCAGTTGAACTACAGGTGTTCTCACAAAATAAAAAATAAAAAGTAACTCTGCTCTCCATAACTGAAACATTCCTGGCAGCTGCTGAGGCTGGTGTGAGAACAATTCCAGAAGCCCTGGTGGGATTGCTGGAAGTACCAGCAGGATCCTTTAGGAACATTTATCTCTTAAAAGCAAAGAAACAACTCAGATTTTCAGATATGTAAAGTTGCCATACTGTGTGATAAGTCTTCAAACAACAAGCAATAAAAATGGGTTTTGATGGAGCCCTTTAGCTGGTTCCAGAATGTTTACCACCTTCTGAACGTGGAAGGGATTTTTTAACAGCTGAAAAACATGTTGTTTGTTTTATTTCAGTGATATTTTGTTTGTCTCTTGATTTCTTTTTAACCTAAAAACGCGTTAAACTCTTGTTTACACGTAGCTGTTAATTATCAAATCAATAATTGCTTTCTTCTCCTCTGCCTTCCAGAGGCCACTTGGAAGATGTGTATGACATTTGTTGGACCTCAGATGGAAATTACATGGCCTCTGCTTCTGTGGATAACACAGCTATAATGTGGGATGTCAATAAAGGTAAATGCCACATTTATTTATCTATCCCTTGCATCTCCAGAGCTGGTGGAAGTGCCTTGTGGGATTTACCAAGAGATTGGAAGCATCTTTTTCGTGTTTGGTTTGTTTTTGGTTTTTTTTTGTGGTTAGTTTTTCTGAGTGTGATTTTTCTGGTGTTGTGAGGCTGATAGCCCACCTATATATAAATATATATTATAAATATATATATATATATATAT